AGACCTACGGACCAAGAATCAGTGCTTTATGAATGGCCTTCAATCAGCAGCGTGGCGAGAAGAGCCTTTCCCTTTCCGAAGAAACTCTCGAAAACCCCAGTGTTAACCATATTGCGCATGTTCGGCGTCGCCCCCCATAGACGGGACAAATCGATGTTGAAAGTGCGAAACTCATCAGTAACTGCTAGTACTCGCACAGATGAGCGACCAGTCGTACAACAACCACCAAACGGGACAAACAACACCAATAAGCTGAAATGAAATCATAGTCTGGGGTTTTTTTTGTGACTGGTCATCAACACGTTGCTATTGTTCTAATTGAGTCCGGCTATCCATCATATGGAGTAGCGCTGATCCTTGCTTAATCCCACCATTAGGGCGTAGTCATCGCAGACCGCCACGCAAACAAATTTTCTTCGAAACACAAACGTTGATCATCTCGAAGTAACGAGTAACAAGTTAGTGGTAACAGCGAAGTTGTGTATTGTAAGCACGACGGAAACTAAGGCGAAACGTGTATATCCATAAGCGTGTGTGCCTTTGTGTGTGGGTATCCATTTGTGTCTATATATGTGTGTGTTTGCTGGCTCCTTCAAACATGACCGGCTCACACGCATCGTTGAACACCAGTCGTTAAATCAAAACAGAGTCGCCGCGAGCCTAAGGGGCTCAGCGCAGCCACGATGGAAGAACTTGGCTGCTGCTGCAAAACCAGACCCCTGCTTAATTTCTCGAACAAGTGTCTAGGAGTGATTAAGCTGAGATTGAATTGATAATTGGGTACTTGAGCCGTCATGTGTCGACGTTTGGTTGGCCGGCAGGGCGGCGGCGAAAATGGGCGGGATAGAGTACGGTCGTACGCCTGCTGGCATTGGCCCAACACCGCCCACATCGCTATACTTTTGATTCATCCTCTTTAATCGTTCTACAACGCTTTTAACAATGTACTAGCATTTACATTTGTTTTTTACTTGAATGCTAGTAAATATTGATCATTGTTGCCGAGAATATCAGTGGTAATCGTTGGGCGTGAGCCGTTGGACGTGGCGCCGGCTGGATTATGTTAATGAGAAAGATTGGTGGATTAAAGAATCAAGTCGATCATGAAGAAAAATGTTTTGATGGACGTCCACGACGACGACGATGACGACAGAGTCAGACGGAGCAGTGTGCTACAATGAGTGTTCGTCAACCCCCTCCTCTCTGCCCCCGCGCAACACTACGCCTGATTAGGTCTCTCACTTCAGTAGAATCATTTGATTTCACGCGTGGAATGAGAGCAACTCAGCTGCATGAGACTGAGTCCCGCAACCCTCGTCGACCGGCACTAATCCATTCCGACTCTTCTTCGTTCCATGGAACATCTCCATGTCGAGGTCTTAGGCTCAATCATGGTCTTGCGCGTACACCCAACCAGGTATCACTACTGTGCACCACTTTCAGATCTGCATAACTATCTTAAACCAACACCTGTAGGAAACTGTAACAAGTACATGAACAGAGAGCGTTCAGTGCCAACAGGAAAAAAAATCCGGAAAAACATTCTGAAATCGATTTCTTTCCGGTTTCAGAAATCTCGCCGTCGCACTGGAGCGCTCGTTGGTGACATTCTATGACTATCGACATCAAGCTGAAAATGCCATCTGCAGGTAGAGGTTGGTGGCAAATCTTTGCCATCCTTTTGCGTTTTTTTCGTTTTGTCCTTCGTTCCTTCCGGTGGTCGGAGGAGGCGAATTTTCGCTTCGAGGCATCTCGCTGCTATTCGGCTGTTGTTTTACTCACATCATCCCATTTATGTTCGTCCCAATACGCTTTCGTATTTGACATTCCAGCCAGCAGCCTCAGAAGTGAGACCGACGCTCTTCTCCTACCCCCGAAAGAGCAGTCCTGTACTTTTGACGGTGATTTTTCATTTAATGTCTTATTATTGATTTTTTGACATATTGCCTTCTTCGTTGCACTTTTTGACATTCCTAGTATACTTTCAACTCTCTTTTGGCACATTCTGCATAATCCGACTGGTTTAAGGTGTTTCTTTCGTGATGAACTCGAAATTCTGACACTCGCGCGCGTAACGGCGCTTGTTCGTAATCACGCGTGGTGTTGGCTTACTGTATCAGCGGGGCCCGCGAGTGTCAACTGCAGATAGCGGGGCGCGGTTGAATTGCATCGTCTACACATCCAGTTATCTCATTGTGCCAGTCTCATCGATCCATTTCTACGAAATTATGAATAATGAGAGGTGTGCCGCATGCATTACATGAGAGCTGGCACGAGACGTACCTCCACCTAAACCTGGCTGCTCCTTTCCTGACCCCCTATTTATCATTCTGCACGTTCCATGCACACCTTTGTCGGGTGTTTTGACGTTCCCAAAAAAAGTTCTATAGAAATTTCCTGGAATTTTTCATGATCGCTCGGATACTTTCTGTTGAAATGTCGCGTCATGCGCCGTCACTTAGCCCCGCGAGCGACCTCAACCACCCACAGACACGGAGGCACAGACAGATATCCCATAAAAGTGAACGGTTATTGTTGCAGACGAGGCCGAACACGTTCGCCTTTTTCAGGTAACGGGGCGCGAAAGAGAGAAGACGATCGACGATGAACTTTTTGAATGTCGTCAGACGCTACTATGACGGGGATCAGTCCTAGTTCCATACTCGGCCGTAGTATGTCTGTGGGGATTCCATAGGATTCTTTGAAATAAGCTGCCCTTTGAGGTGGTTTTCTCGGCCGTCTTCTGTGCATCCGACTTTGATCTTTCATCGCGACTTGCATAAAGGTGCGCTAGCTGTCTCGAGGTGAATAGTAATAATTCTGTTCGAGGGACGGTGACCGATTTCACACCTATATGCACACATTCACTCAGGAAACACCGGCGGGCATTATAGGCGAAGCGCTGCGGCACACAATTGCACATAGGTTGGCGACACATGGCGGTCATGGATCGCCACCGGGGGGTTCCAGCACTCAATCACTGAGCAACGCCTTCACAGCCCTACAGTATCCATCTCAAGTGACTCGATGAATTCCTGCACGTTCAAGTGGTCACAAATGTTGGCACATTTGCTGGATGAGGATTCGTCAAGAGTTGCGTAATGATGAAGACCTAAAAGGGCCACCCGAATGACACCCCGTGGTGAATTTGACGTACGTCGTTCATCGTCCCTGTCTCGCGTACCCCACACCCCATATGGGGCTCATAGAGCTGTAGGGATGGCTAATGCCAGAATTATGCTAATTCCTTGTCGGCTTCTTTTGCTCTTCCCCTATACAGATTGTTCTTTGCCACATTGACGTAACCGTAATCGGGTATTGTTTGACATGACATCGATACGAATTCAAGACAAGAGCTGGTTTCTCTGGACAAACCGTTTGAAAGCTCATTGTACGGAAGAATTAGGACCCCTTATTTGCTTGGAGGTTTTTATTGGGGCTTGATGCACTGAAATCGTGGTCTACGGAGATCGGTCTGCTAAGATTTAAATCTCCTGCCCTCTCCTGTAAATTTGCAGGAAAATTAAGCTGCTTTTGCTAGTACTAAAGTCTCCAGTCCATCCTCACTCCCAGTAGGATCCTTTATGAAAGCCAGGCCATGCTGCTCATACATGACTTCATACCCACAGAACTCTGCCATAACCGTAAAATTGTAGATAAAAGATAATAATGCGATTTCGCGAAGCATATCTAATCCAAATATCGATTTTCCAAGTGGTTGCATTTTGTGATACAGCCCAAATGGAAACAAGTTTTTAGTTTCTGAAGATCGCATTCCTTAGCTATCGCTCGCAAGAGCCCTTTTGGCGCAGATCGTTTCGAATTTGATGAGCTCCAAAAATTTCTTTTTTTTTCAAATGATCGCAACATTCACCTAATTCTCCTGGCGTCTACATTCTAATCTCGTCGTAGTGCTACGAACACCGTATGGTCAGTCTAAAAGCACTAAGTAGTTAATAACTCGGGCATATGTATCAACCGACAGTTGCTACTGTCTGCGCTCTCCGTCACGCAAACGATTTCTCGCTTCCGATTTTCGGCCACGCGGCGCACCTTATCGGGCCGAGTCAGCCAGCCCTCGGCGATCACTGACCCGTACATGAAATTTAATTACGCTCAATCCTCTCTACAATAACATAGTAGAGAATGACTGAATAATTGTAGCCTCGACGTGTTGCGTCGAGTCACACAGCCACAACTGAAATGGATGGTGTAATTGCGGAAAAAATCAACCATATCACCATGATGTCTTTTTATTACTCGAAGCACAGCGTCGCTAAGTAAGCCAAGGAACAAAAGTATTATACCTGCGTCTAAAGTAAAGTATTAAGTGATTGAAAAGCTGCTGGGGAACTCATCAGCCTTGTTCTCATAGTGTTACACCAAAAGCGTTGTTCACGGAATCATATTTTTTGAGGTGAAGAAGTAAAGGAGTGAAATTGGATGTTCAGAACACTGGAAAACAAATGTCAAGAATTCAAGCTTGTTAGCTGCAACTTCTCGTCAAACACGAGAGAAAGCGTAGAAAGCTGAAAGTAGCCGTCTTGACCGTATAGCTTGGGCAAATACTAATTTGAGCAGTGACAGATCTTTGGGGTCGTTTTTTGAATTGAAGCTGTATCAAGTAATAGTTGTTTTAATAGCGCACTTGCCCGGGAAGCAAGAGGTGCGGGTTCGAGTCCCATCCTGGGGCGAAAGTTTTGTTCACAACCCAGCATTCTTGTGAAACATGGCTGTCTTAATTTTGCATATACCACAGCCATCGCTATAATTACTCAAGAGTGCTACTCAAAGAGTTACTGATCATTACCTTAATAAGTTGTACTGCGACGTTTCTGCAAAGTAGTGCTCTACTAGTACACTGCGAATAGTTTAGTTGTTCTTTTCACTTAGCGAAATAGATGGAATTAGAGAAGGAAGTACATTGGATGTAGCGACGCTTGGTCTAATCTGGGCAATTCATCATCCTCCAGTTGGCAAGTGAGAAAAGTCTCACCAGCATGACACAACTGCCAGGACAATGGCCCACCGATGAAAATATTAGAGCAGCCAGTAAGACCTATTTTGCAGCAGAAGGGCTTAGACGTTGTCGTCGAATGATAGGGCGATTCCTTACTCCAAATTCACGCAGATAAGAGCAGTTTCATCTTAGCAAGAAAAAGAACAGAAAGCTCCTTTCGATAACGGGATATTTTTTCAAGCTTTTTTTTCCTCCAAAACAACAAACAGAAATGAAAAAAAAGAAATAATTGGTGAACATCTTTTTGCAACTTCTAGTAAGTAGCACTATGCAGTAGAACAGGCCGCTCTTACCGAAACATTAAGGGTGCTTAGGGTCAAAATTAAATTTCAAGGGGAGCGATGGAGGAGCGAAGCAACACATCGGTGTCTCATTGGGATTAAAAATTGGGCAATAGTAATTATATCTGCATCTCTCCGTCAATACGAAATAATTTGCATTTTCACCTCTACGACTATGGAGGAGGAGGATGAAGGAATGAGAGAAGCAGAGTGGGACAAAAAATGAAAAGGAACGATAAACGGGCGTAACCTCTCAACTCAGCTAAAAAGGTCCCATAATTTTTGAACGCCTGTGTAACAGGATATAGTTTGAAGAGGGTAAGATAATTCGTTATTTGCATTAACCATTTTCATTCGAAATTCTTGAGGTCGTTTGAGGCCTTATTTCTTACATCGAAAATAATAAAAGCTGGGTATCCCTTTTTAATTGATATAGCTATTCCGTCATCTCCTACGCAATTAGTGGGTTCGATTAGATTGGATAAATAAATAAATCATAAAAAATTAGGTTGCAGCGTAATTTTTACCCACTCGTAGCTGGAGGAATTTCTAGAAAATTCGTTTTCGTAATATGTTTTGATGTGACGTCCATGTTGGCAAATCTAAACAGCTGGTCGGCTCATTTACCCGCTGTTTGCCAGGGCCACTCTCTTCGATTTCTGGAGAAGTGGAGGAGCGATTTGCAGAATGCTTTCATTGCGACGACGCAAAAATGGTAACCTTTCACCCCGTAGACCTGAGAATATTGACTTGTTTCATATCATATTAGCTCAGCACGCTCCTGGCCCACACTTTGGTGAATCGCCATGTTTTCTCCAACCTCTTTGAGAACTTTCGAATGGCTATCCTAAAAATGTAACGAAGGTGAAGGATGGCAGTGCATGTAAAAATCGCGGAATTTGGACCAAAGGATTTTTAGGATCTGCATTAATGATCAATAAACATGAACCGCCCATGGCCAAGTTCAACTTAATATTGGAACATTGGGACGAGGGAAGTGCAATATGTAGAACTTGCCAATTGTTATAGCCAGGTAGAAGAGAAAAGCACTTGATTTCACACTGTCAACTCATCTCGCCTGCGCTCATGTTGCTGAAGGTAGGAGATGGGGGGGGGGGGGGGGGGCAAGGGCTTCAAGTGAGTCAGCTTATGTACAGTACTTGGGACTCTATTCCTTAGTAAAGGGAAGGGAGTGTCACCTACTAGGGAAGGGAGTGTCATCTACCAGCAGCTTTTCAAATGTGCTGATTGAAGTCTCCCCTCCCCCCTCCCCCTCACCCTCCCCAAACCGTGGGCGCCATCTATCCACTATCATTGAGATCGCACAAAATGGCAACCTGCTTCACTAACCCGTGAAAAAATCTTTCACCAGCAATCGAGTCTCCAAGCTCTCATTTGCTCGTCCAAACGCCTGCGAATAGCATGGATCGATTGCAGAATACAAGGAAAGATTCAGCCAGCAGCTCAACAGGCTTCTCGTTGTACCTTTCTGCACTCTTCCTAGGTCTGTATTCCGCTGAAAAAAAATAGATAAGGAATATTGAGAACCTCAACTGTTTGTGACATTTGCACTAGTTCAATTCCTTTCAGAACCTTCAGTTCATTTCACTGGTATCGAAATCTGTACAAAAATTACTTCGCAATAAAGTGAGGAATCATCCGGTAACGGCTTCATACCCTCCCTTCAAAAAGCGAGAAAGTGTCGGGTGCAGACCATGCACCACAAGTGACGACGGCCTTCACAAAATGTTAATGTTTTCTGCCAATGAAATGATTAGCCTGTTGCAGTTGTATTCTATCGATTGTCACTAATTACAACTATCATTTACCAGAAATCACTATGAACAACTTCTAACCAGATTTACTTGGAGGCCGTCGTCAGTTGTGGTGTTTGGTCTGCACCCGACACTTTCTCGCTTTTTGAAGGGGAGGTTATAATAACGAATAAAATTCCGTGTCGGTGCATTATATTTGGATTATTGGCAGAGAATATTCCAAAAACATCATGAGGAGCAAAAAAAAACCCATTTTCCTTGTTTCTCTCTATTCAAAGCTTGGGAATAAGCGTGTTCTCAAGATGCCCTGAAACCGCATTATTCTTATGTTTGCAAAAATTTGCAAGATTGCAAGCTAATTTTTATACCGCTTTCTGGTACGCAATTTAGATTTGCGAAGGGTCTGATGAACAAGTTGAGGGATTGTGCCCTAAATGGACTAAAGAACTCCTACAAAACGTGGCAGCGGGAATTAGATGCAGATTCGATACGCACAACTCATTCCAAAACTGCATAGTTAATAGTGGAGTAGACATTTCCAATAAATCCTCCTCTACTTACGGGGAAAATATGTTATTCTAGGCGACAAAATAACTGAAAAAAATTTTCACAGTAGATTAAATTAGTATACAGTAGCGGTCAAAAGTGTTCGCCGAAACGATTTTCAGTGCATTATTTTTTCTCGCTTGAGCAACGCCCTCCAAAGATTGATATACTATGTTTTCTAGTGTTTTTATATCCTCAAGCCTTGAAGAATCAGGATATTTGAAAGAAAAAATTTTCTGGGTTAACCATCAATTTCTATGTGGCAAGAAACGGAAAGAAAACCATTTCTGTGAACATTTTTGACCGCTACTGTAAATTCCGCAACTTTTGCTGAAGCTTAGCTCATTAAAATATGTAACCTGGCCAACCCCCGGCAACCTGTAATTTAGAGCTTAAATTGCTGCAGTAGTCATCATATCTAATTTTTTTTCACAACTAAACTTGTAAATAAGGCCCTCCATAGGCAGCTGACATGCAAAGTCATGGTCTTCTGGTCAAATCCCGTATAGAAACTCGCTCGATAATCAAAATTACACCTCTCCGAGATCGAATGATTGCTACCACACTCATGTAAGAGGATGAAACGATTGCTTTCACAGCGCCGGCCCTCAACCCTCCCTGGCTCTCTCTTTCCAACTCGAGTCCTTCACCCAAACTTTACGTTATGATCGACCTGTGTGTAAATAAACAAAGGCGCAAACACAAGATACGGGGACACTGTGGTGGCAATGCACTTAGAACCACGTTAAACATCTCATTTTTGTTAAAAACGGGACTAAGCCTCAATTGGGGAGACTACTGACTGGAGAGACTCGAGGGTGCGTGAGCAATTTCCATTTACCTCGGATCTTCTGCCCACTCCTAGGCTTGGTCTTATTGTTAGATTAATGCCCACGCATACTGCGATAGCGCCTGAGCAAGTGAAACAGAAGGAGCCATAAAATGAATGGGTAGTTTCGTAAATGAAAAAGCGTCCATAAAAGTTCATTCTCCAAGAAATAAATAGATTTTCAATTCTCAAAAGAAAAAGCACCTCCGCGAGATCAATACTTAACTTACTTGCTTCTGTAGGATATCTGCTGTTTTACGCTGCAGTTCGCGATTGCGAAAGTCCCCACAAACATGCTGAGTTGTGGGCAAAACTGAAAAAAACTTTCGCCCAGCCGGGATTCGTACCCGGATCTCTTGCTTTCCGGGCAATTGTGCTACCAGTTACACCACCGGGGCACCATTTCACCCCAACTCAGCTTCGATGGTATAGTACCATAGCTTATCAGCATTCACACGTATAACGTGATGAGCCGGTTAGCCGATATCGGCATAAACCGCAAGGCTGAAAGCTTTAGGTAATTGTTGCCATTTTTAACTTGTTTTTGTGGGACAACTGCTGTTTTACATTGCGAAGGTTATCACAGGAAGGCCGAGTTGTGGGCAAAACTTTAGCCACACAACTTCGGCCAAGTTTTGCCCAGACCTCACCATTCTTGTGATCAATACACATCACCACATAGGTCGGACAATGCAGAGTTGCCAAGTTCTTCCTTCTCCTCCTTTTTACTCTTCACTATGATCTCTCCTTCACTCTGGTCTCTCCTATCTAACTTCAGCTCAGATCACTATTAGATATGTCAAGTTGAGTTATGTGATGAGAACCGAGTTTCATTTCAGATGCAGGGCATACCGGTGTGAACCAATTAGGTGGTGTATTTGTGAATGGACGCCCACTACCGGATACAACACGACAAAAAATCGTTGAACTAGCACATGGAGGAGCACGACCGTGTGACATTAGCCGGATACTCCAGGTTTCTAATGGGTCAGTAATTACTACAGTATCATTTTACGGATTTTTTGATGACTAGTGAGAATCTTATATCGTTTTATCGAGTATGGATCAGCCGTAAAGCACTGAACACAGGAAAGACAAACACATTATTCTGAGCAAAGCACTAAATATGTACAAGCGATCAGGAAGGAGAATCAAACAATCAAAAATCTTAGACGAAAATATTCTAGAATAGCTCCTTATACCGTGTAGTGAAAGCAGCATAGCCGACCGCTACTCTTACTAAGCTACTTACTTTCCACTCCCAAGTCCGACATTGAAACCCAATGCGACAGCTTAGTGACAGAATAACAGCAACGCCTTGGTCCGCTTCGCAGAAGAGGGAACGAGAGTGGTAACTCGATGGTCTCCCTTTAAGGTTTCCGGCCGACCTACGCTTCAATTTTAAGCGAAGGCCTCTATCTTGAAACCTTAAATTGCTTTCCGTACAAGGTTAGAATTTGAACTCGAGCGGAACATGTTTACATTTAGAGAGGGGGGGGGGGCAAAAAATAGGTTGTACATGTCGGACATCTACTGCCGTCATTGTCGGAAATCTTATGCGAAATATTCCCGGAATATCAGACTATAGAGTAACAGGGGGCTTTACTGCCCTAAGTTTCTTCAAGTATGAAGTCATCCGCCATCGCCCCCGAGCTCAAGGTGACCTACATATAGCAGTTGCACAAGCCTGAAGCTGACACATAACTACTTGTACCGATTCACTGGCATACAGTTTCTTAGAGACTTTATCGAGATGTGTGACCCCCTTCCCCAAGCAGCGTTCGTTTTAGTTATCCATAATCTCAGGTTCCCGTTTTTACTCGACCTATGCACCATGCTTCCTGGGCAGCTTCTCCTCATGTCCATGTAGAGAGCTAATGTGAAGGTTTTTTCATTGAATGGAATGTGCTCTTGATGTGGTTAACTTCTTTCCGAAAGTGGACACAAAATGTCTTTTTTATTGCTGCTCCATACCTTCACCCTCCCCCACCGTACACCACTTCCCACTGATAACTATTACCCCTCTTCTCTTACATAGCGGCTTCAAATTCAATGTACTCCGGCTCAGCCAATGCTGATCACCCAACCACAGGACCATTTAGGCGTTTTCTTTTTTTCTGAGGGGAACGATCGAAAATCTGAACCCAGTAGGCATTCACCACCCGAAACCCCTATACTGCGTCAAAATTGTAGCACTACGGGGATTTCAGTGAGAAAAAAGGCTCGCAAGTTCATGCCAAGTTCACCAAGAGAATCACACACTCATGGAGGCCGCATGTGCTTGGTAAAAAGCTATACGACGTTAGAAAATGCTTGGCACTATAAGTCAGTCAGAGCATTGACTTGTGTGAAATCCTCAGCTTCTCTAATAAAGATTCACAACTATAAGGTCGACTGTTTTGATACCGTTTCAAATTATTGCTATCATACGGCCATAATTTCAGATGCGTATCGAAAATTCTATGTCGATACTACGAGTCAGGCACTATTTCGGCCGCGAGCCATCGGAGGATCGAAACCTAGGTACGTCAGTCACCTTTGAAAATTGTTTGATTTTTCTTGGAGAGCTCCCTCTAGAGGAAGTCACGACATCGCAGAATTAAGAGGAGGCACAACGAATACCCTGGCAGGGTTTTCTCTGCGCCACTCCAACTTCCCCCTTCTTCTTTATGCTTCTGCTATTTTACAAGAAGCATTCATTTCTCAGGATGGTTCAGGCCATCAGAGCTTACTGATGAACCAGCTTATTGAAGCCTAGCTTTGGGTTTTCCTCTTTTTCCATCTCCACATTCAGCTGCTGGAGTGAGTGTAGCACAGTTATCCTACTGCGTCACTATATTACTGTGGATACTAATACATAGAAATGGTTATTGTGTAGATAGAAAACAACACGCCCTCTATGCCCTACTTCCAGGCGTTTCGAAAATCCTGCAAGGGGTATAAAACGCTCGAAGCAGTAGCGACGAGTTTCTCAACCCACGACCAACTTATTTCTTTTCTGATGACGATCCGTAAACTGGACATAGCTAATGAGCCATACTCGCTTTTCTCACATGTAATAAAATATAATAAATGCCATGATGACCCCAACCGATATAATGTTGACGTTTGAACACTGAATATCCTGAATTTGACTCTAACTACCAGAATACTTTATCAACGCAGAGGTTGACTTTACTGCAATTTCATAATTCTTAAATGTTTTACTCTGATTCTGACATGGTTCGTTGATGTGATTTCACACTTTTGGCATGAGTTTGTCAGACGATATATTTTTTTGTAGTCAACATTTCTACTGTCCACCCCTTTTTTCCCATTCAAGTTCACAACTAGAGTGAGTGTAGCGCCGTAATGAATGAGCCTATCGCTTCACTATGCTGTGATAGCTAGCAAAGGAAGGTCATCAGGTCAACAGCAACATTTGAAGTTAGCATCATACCTGTGTATTCACCTTCAGAAGCGAGCTTGCAATGCTTCTCGTACCGCTAAAATTTTTCTTGAACGAATTATAAACAGGCCGGACTCGCAGACAGGGAGTCGTTGCATCAGCCTGCTGACAATGTTGCTCTTTTGTTTTATTCAGCAACATGGACAGAAACACTTGGGACATCATTTCTTCACCATTGCTTATGATAAGAGCTTACGAGCAGTTCAATGCATTTCCACTAAGAAACGCATGCAAAATAGCGCGGAATAAAATTTTAATATCTCCGTCCAGAGAATCTTTCAGCAGATATATTATAGAAACTATCACTGAGCTCAGCTTCTAAAGGGAATCGCAATAGTGAAAACCTGATTCCAAGTGCCGCGGTTGACTTATTAGATTTTCCTTGTAAGCATTTGACAACGACGTAATCGTTGAAATATAGCAGGAAAGAAGTTCTACCCAACACAGTCCATTTTTAACTATAAGTAAAACAGTCAGTGGCCGGAAGTGGTGTGGCAAAGTGGCGCTTACCACGCGAGCGGTCCGGGGATCAAATCCTGGGTCGTGAGTCGCCCGGGCCAACCAAGCCTTCCATCCCTCCGGGGTCGGTTAATTGGTACCAGACTTGTCTGGGAGGATAAAAACACTGACTTGAACATCGGCTGGCCCCCGCAAGTCATTGTATAGGCCACATCGCATTCAAACGCCACTACGAATGTACAAATGGAAGTAGAATGCCAAAAAGGATTGATCAACGACGAATGTCCTTTATCCTTAAAACAGCCAATGACGGTGCCGTTCATATATTCAAACATTTTGGTCATAGTTACTCATAGAAGTATCTTGTGGCTCCAGAGCAGCGACGAATCCTCAACGAACACCTATAAAAGCAGTTATTATTAGGATGGAAAGGAAATCTAGGAATTTTTGGTTGTTCATTTTCTTTCGTTTATTAAGCTCAATTAGTCATTAATTATATGCAGGGGTGGCCAAAAAAGAGACACTTCCCTCCACTAGGCCGACCTATCAGAGAAGTTCGCCTATCTCAAACGGGACGATCCCGTCTGAAATTAAGAACACTTCCTTTCTGGACAAGTTTGTAATATCCTTCGACACTGTCGACATTAGAAGATTTTGCCATCAGAGACATGGTGCACGGCTCGGCAGAATGCTCCTCAACAGATTGTGTGCCATTACGACGCTATCTGAAACGCAGGTGCGATGGGGTCTTGCATATTATTAGTACTGCATAACTGAAGAAATTATGTAGCAGCTTCAGCTGGAGCGATTACGGTAGACCTCGTTGAGCTCGACGATGATGACAGATGACGTGATATTCTGAAGACGGTGAGGGCAGCGAGGCCCTGCTTCTGCTTATGGGAGACATCTAAGCAATATTTTGCCGAAACAATTCCACCGACCTGTGAGAAGTAAAGCTTGCAGATGTGCGTCATGAGCAGAATGTCTCTTTTTGGCCACCCATGGATGTCTACCACCTTTCCACAACGCTCGGGTAGCTTTCCTATGTCCCTTCTCCGTGGCTGTAAGCCAAAACAGTGAACGCCTTCTCCTTCGATTGAGTTTTTGCCACCAAGATGATGACCGATATGAATAGTACACTGGTGTGCAAAACTTAAGGACGAGACAGATGAAGTATCATAACCTTTTGATAGCTTTGTGGACCGTTTAACGGTTCCTGTTAACTGCTTTCTTTAGTGCCCTGTGGCAGCTCTTTGTATGTGTGGTTAGGTTCCATAGAGTCATGTTACGCGCCAGTAACACGTCGTTGGAAAAGCTACGTTCGTCCCTAAGTTTTGCACACCAGTGTATTGCACTTGGTGCTTGACCTGGACAGTGTGGATGGAATAGGAGTTCTCAGAATCAGCTCCAGATCCTTCTGCTAGCTTCACGGCAAGTAGACACACACATCGCGTCACGGCCGTTTCTGACGAAATTCATCGGGCAAATTTTAGAGTTTTGCAGAGTAAATCTCTATGGCCACAATGATGCTGATGTTGAA